GGTAGAGAAGGGCAAAATATTGTGCAACACGGGCTCCAAAATCTTTAGCTACGAGAAAAACCTGTGTATTCCAAAGGTATGCAGATTTGGCATTCATGTTCCACAAAACGAGCAAGCATCCAAATAAAGAAAGTACAATCACGTAACATACAAGGAAACATCAATTGAAAAAATCTCGTAATGGTATGCGCATGTGTGTGTATACATGTATGTCTGTATGTATGTATATATACAGAAATATTACTGTATAAAAGTGAAAGAGCAACTCCTTTTACATTATGTACTCTAGACGTTTAATGTCAACTTCACTCAAAACGGCAGAGCAATGAGTATGATAGCATATCTATCTTCTTCTTTCTAAGAAAGTCAGTCCCCAGTTGCATCAGATTAATGATTTATTCCGCGGATAAGGTACTTCAACGATTACCGTGCAGAAAATCTAAACTGGAAATGTAAGAAAGTCGTCAAGACCATGTTTGATTTGCATATTAGCAATATCATTCTAACATTCTTTCTCAAGTCCTTGTTCTTTCTTTTATTGTTAAACCATTTCTCAAGATTTATGGAAAATTTTGAAGGCATCTATACTACCATTGGCTCGACATGCATACAATTATCAAAGCCATGAACTGTTTCACTAAAAGAAATAATACCATGTTTTGATTTTCCTTCACTTCCTAACAAATTCAACTAGCAAAAGTTATCTAGCAGCAAATAGAGTTCAGAATATCTATATATAGAGCGAGAGAGAGAGCAGAAAAACACACTACTTCATAGCAGATTGTCGGCCGGGAATTGGGAAAGGGGAGAATAGTACCTTAGAAATGGCGAGAGCATCAAGAAGGGAGTCCAGATCATCGACAAAATCAGCATAGGTAGCCTCCCCGGGCACGGTTGGAGGGTCAGAGAGTCCATAGCCTCTGTAATCTGGAGCAATTGCTCTGTAGCCAGCCTTGGCCACAGCAATCATTTGGTGGCGCCAAGAATACCAGATCTCCGGAAACCCATGACAGAACAACACTGCTTTCGATCCTCCTCCAATCTCAGCTATGTGAAGCTTCAGACCGTTGACTTCAATATGCTTGTGCTGTATTTGATCCATTCCCACGAAACAAAACCCGAGAAGGAGGGGAGGGAACAAGAGTAAAGTGTGCTAAGTGTAACTGTTGTAGTCTATCCTGGAGTATTCGCTTCTACAAGGCTTGGGCGTGCACTTACTCTTACTTAAAAGTAAGTGGAAAACAATTCTCGACGGTGTTCGGTGGGAGATTCTGTAACTTTTGGTCTTGTCCTATTTGGATCGCTTTGACTGATGGCTAGAAGAAAGGTTTATTTATTGTCAAATCATGGCCAAACACCTCGCGCCACGTCGCTGCTTTGTTGAGCAGCGTGAACATATTATTAGTGCCGGGATAATTGCAGAAACCTCCCCTGAGATTTCTAACATTTGCACTGACCTCCCCTCTAGGTTTAGAAATTGCATTCACCTCCCCTGAACAGTAACAATTCGTTGCAGAAACCTCCCTGACAGCTTGATGTCCCATTAAAAAATTATTTGTAGAAGTGAGATAAAACATTTCTTCCAATTTTGCCCTCATCTTGCTTGACAATTATTATTTGCTTGACAATTGCTTAGCTTAACTAATTATCTAATTAGTTAATAGTTAAGCTAATTAACTATTAACTAATTAACTAATTATCTAATTAATTAATTAACTAATTTCTATTTATCTAATTTACTAATTAACTAATTATCTAATTATCTAATTAACTGAAGTTGTTGTCTGTCTGAAACTAACAAACTATTTGCATGTTAAACTAATTAACTGCTTAACTAATTAACTAATTAACTAACTAACTGATTAACAGACTATTTGCATGTTAAACTATATGCAGTACGCATTACCTATTTAAAGTATCGGCTCTTTATGGGTATTTTATTTTCAAACATTTAATTTATGATAAAAACATCAATGTTTGTAAGTAAAATTCAAAAAGTGTTACAGGAATATTCTTACAAAAAGGGAGGGGCATAAGGCCATAAATTAAATATTTGAAAGTAAGAATATTGATATTTTTTGTAACACTATTTGAATTTTACTTACAAATATTGATATTTTAATCATAAATTAAATGTTTGAAAGTAAAATACCCATAAAGAGCCGATACTTTAAATAGGTAATGCGTACTGCATATAGTTTAACATGCAAATAGTATGTTAATCAGTTAGTTAGTTAATTAGTTAAGCAGTTAATTAGTTAATTAGTTTAACATGCAAATAGTTTGTTAGTTTCAGACAAACAACAGTTTTAGTTAATTAGATAATTAGTAAATTAGATAAATAGAAATTAGTTAATTAGTTAATTAATTAATTAGATAATTAGTTAGTTAATTAGTTAAGCAGTTAATTAGTTAATTAGTTTAACATGCAAATAGTTTATTAGTTTTGGATAGACAATAGCTTTAGTTAATTAGATAAACAAAAATTAGTTAATTAATTAATTAGATAATTAGTTAGTTAATTAGTTAATTAATTAATTAGATAATTAGTTAGTTAATTAGTTAAGCAGTTAATTAGTTAATTAGTTTAACACGCAAATAATTTGTTAGTTTCGGACAGACAACAGCTTTAGTTAATTAGATAATTATTAATTAGTTAATTAGATAAATAGAAATTAGTTAATTAGTTAATTAATTAATTAAATAATTAGTTAATAGTTAATTAGATAATTAGTTAATAGTTAATTAGTTTAACTATGCAGAAATAGTTTGATTAGTTAATAACTATTAACAATTAGATAATTAGTTATTAGTTTAACTATGAAGAAATAGTTTGATTAGTTAATTAGTTAATTAGATAATTAGTTAATTAGATAAAATAGAAATTAGTTAATTAGATAATTAGTTAATTAATTTAACTGTGCAGAAATAGTTTGATTAGTTTAATTTGTTTAACAAATTAAACGTTGGTTTTGATGAAAGTACTCAAACCTTTCATCTGGTAAAGTCAAATCCAATAGGGGTACTCTAGTAATTTCACACACTTTTACCTTTTAAATTAGTTCCAACTTTTTTTAGGGGAGGTTAATGCAATTTCAAAATTGATAGGGGAGGTCAGTGCAAATATCAGAAATCTCAGGGGAGGTTTCTGCAATTATCCCTATTAGTGCCTCTATCCGAATTTATTTAGCCATTCAACTGTTAAAAAATAATAATTTGATTGTGATGTTTATATTTTTTATTGATTTTATTCTAATAAATTTAAAATTTAAATATAAATAATAACATACATATAATTAAAAAGAAGAGTTATATTAAAAAAAGAAATTTAAAAATATTTTAATTTTTTCAATATGATAAATATTTTAAGATATTTCAAAATGAAAAGTTGTGATTGGGCTAATTTATTTCCACGCGTCCATTTTTAAGTGGGACGCCGGGTCTACGCAAGTCCTGGCTGCAAATTATTTCATTTGATGCCTTCAATGGTTGAATACAGCCACGTGAAGGCTCAAGTGGCCGTTTCTTGACATGGACCGTGAACTGCTTTTTTTTTTTTTTTTTGAATGATGGACCAGCAATTGTCGTATACAACTTCTGTTGTTGCCGTAGTTGCGCTCATTTTCACCAGATCTAGGCTGGATCTACCTTCAAACCCTTTAACCAGAACCAACTGATAGCTTAGCCACTGAGCTTTGGCTACCAACTTGTTTGGATTATAGATTAGGGATTCGAACCCTACTTGTAATAAAAAAATTTAAAAGAAATATCAGGACACCATTTTAATTATCTAATCAGATCTATAACTAACTTTTTTCATAGATTCTTTAGACTCCTCCTCTATATAAAATATGATACTCCTTCTTCGTGTAAAATATGATAGATTAGATAATAAGAATTTTACGATTGATTGCAGTAAAAAAAAAAAGAAAAAACCACTGTAAGCTTGCATGGTCTCTTGACAATCACAGTCCAAGTCACGGACTGAATCACATCAAATCCCATGTGCGTCCAAGTCACGGACTGTATTAGTATTAATTTGCTGACACCGCTGCCGAAACATTCCACCAGCTCCACTCGAGGATCCTTGGCTTGACCCTCATGCCTAAAAAGAACAACTTAAGAATTAATACTTACAATCAATCATGAATTAAAATCTATCCGAAACTAATAGGTATAGGGCTCACCCTTGTAGCAACACAATAACAAACGCAAGTAGTTTTCTATTATATTGCACATTGGTTAATATTTATAGCCTTAAAAGTTAAAACACAATGCAAATCTTTTCAGCCGGAATCCCTCAAATTTAAACAAGAAATTTTGATGCAAGGTAGACTCCAAAAGTGCCATATAGCCCATGTTTGCATGGTAAACCAAACAGCAAATATAGGACTCTAACAGGATAGCAAAGCGAGGAGTGAAAACACAACTACATAAGCACGTACCACCAATGGCACTTCAAGAGAAATAGGAAGACGCTTAAGAAACTTGCTTCATGGTTCAAGCATTGAATTACAATACCAACAGACTATTGGTACCTAAATTTGATCATGATGTTAATCTAAAGATGTGAAGCCTGTTGCACCAGAGGCACACGGGATCTTCAGTGCCACTTTTTTCGTGACAGTTCAGTGCCACGTCTATATTTATGCAAAGTGTCCTGTTTATTTAATTTATCATATGCTATTTATTTAAATTTCTTCTACCATCACGTGATAAGTGGAATTAGCACTGAATTTGGCACCGAACAGTGGCACAGAGGATCCCAACTGCACCAGAAGTAACTCACTTTTTAAGGGGTCCTGCAGTTGCCTGGATACCCATCTGTATTGAGACGACTTGGAGAGAGAGCTCTTTTTGTTACTATTTAAATCGATGTTTATGAAGGTTGTGTTATTAGCTGCTGGTTTATGTTTTGCTCTCTTCTTACATGGCATAGAATCAACTCTTCGGGGCATTTATGAGTTCTCTCTGTACAGACCAGAATTAGGCCGATACTGATGACTACTGCCTTTATGAACAAGTCTAAATTGGTCAGAATTATTGAAATACTAAATAAGCAGATCAATACTTGCCTAAAAACAATCTTGTGATTTCGGTCCATCCGTTGCCAAATATCTTCTATGCACGCATGTAATGTTTAGATATTAATTCACAAATTTGGCAACGGATATTTGTATTCGGGATAAGTTAATGTTTAGATTCGGGATAAGATCCGCCAAGCAGATGGTATTCTTTTTGCTTCCCCAGAGTACAATTATTCGGTTTCCGGACCCCTGAAAAATGCTATCGACTGGGGATCAAGACCCCCCAATGTTTGGGCTGATAAGGCTGCTGCACTTGTGAGTGCTGCTGGAGGTTCTGGTGGGAATAGACAACAATATCACATCCGTCAGATTGGAGTTTTTCTTGATCTTCACTTCATCAATAAGCCTGAGTTTTTCCTCCGGAGGCCTTTAGCCCCGCCCCAGAAGTGTGATAGGGATGGTAACTTGATCGATGAGGTAATCAGAGAGAAATTGAAGGAGGTTCATTTGTCTTTGTATGCATTTACCTTGAGACTCCAGGGCAAGTCGAAATGATACATATATACTATCAATACCGTCTGAAATTGTATTTACTTTCTTCTTCTCTTCTGCTAGCTAGCATATCATTTCACATGGCCTAAAGAATACATTTTGACTCATTCCTGGAGTTCACAAGAAATGATTCACAGTATTTTGAAATATCTCTGACCCTTTTCGGTTTTCAGGGCATCATATGTTCTTTGCTTTTTAGTTTGTATTCCTTCTGGTGTAGACTACCATTTGGAAAATTTGCCAAGTTCTTGCAAAATGCTTCTGAAATTGCAAACCAGAATTCCATCCTTGGGTGGTTGTAATTAGGTATCCTTCTTGGACAGAAACAAAGCGTATCTTATCCACTGTTGTGATTGTGAATGAATCCAATAAACTTTGTGATCTTAGTAGTATTTGATCAACGTATATCTAATTCTCCAAACATGAGGGGAGCTCGTTTCAATTTCATAAATCCAGGGGACTCATTCCAAATAAGACAGAATTACTACCATATATAAGCCGGCCCTAAATTAATAAAATGGATAGATGTTGTTTGCTTAAGACTCAATTATTTTTTAATTGCCCATGGGGTGGGGGGCGTATTTTACACACCAAAAGAGCTAATTAGTGCCAAGTTTACATATTATTCTATTACATGTAGCCTTTTGTTGAAGTTAAATGCTTAATAAAATGATATATGCTATATTTCATGATTTGGTTTTGGAGTATAAAGAGTGTATTTGATCAAAATTAACCGTTCAATATAGAGTGTGTTTGGATTGTAAATTATTTGAGATATTTTTATTATAGGACCTTTTGTGATGTGATGTATGAGAGATAAAAAGATAATTAAAAAGATAAAAAGGTGTATTGAAAATTGTAATGGTGATGTAAGCAAATATATTTGGACAAATAATCTCCCGTTTCAGAATTTTGACTATATCTGGAGTTCTAAGCCTCTATTTGAGGGGGAAAAAAAAACCCTTCATTTAAGATGATTTTTAGTGCACGGAAAAGCTAAGACCTAGATCAAGAATTGTCGGGAAAGCACCCAAACCCAATTTGAATGTATGATGGGTCGAAAACGGATAAGAAATTAGAACGTCATATTGATCATTCCATCCTGAATTAGTCATGATTTTTGCTTCATATCTAAGAGTTATAGTCCTTAAATGGATGCAAGGCCAAATCCATTGTAAACGTACGATCCATATCTACAACTTTCATAAGGGCTTATGTCAAGATTACGTTGTTTTGGAGGGGGAAAGTTGCTGCCAAAGTGTAGTTTTGATATCCAAATTGTGATACATGAGTAGTTTTAATTTCCAAATTTTGGATAAAAATAAATTTGATATCCAAAGTCTGGGGATTAAAACTGCTCGTATGTCACAATTTCTCTTCAGAAGTCAAACTAATTTTCCCCACGACTAGTCTAAATTCAGTAGCAAATTCATAGTAGGAATCATGAAACTCGAACATTTTCAAAAGGTTTGGAGGAAATGTTTTCAAGTTTGTTTTCTCTTGTTTCCTTCGTACAATTAGGAGCCGTCACTCTTGGAATAATGTGGGTTAGAATTTTCTCTTTTAGTATAGCACTGAGGGCACGCAAAAAAAAAAAAAAAAGAACGCGAGTTTGACCTTGTGGTCTCAATCTCTTCCTCAGCCATTCCGCCTACACATCCATTCGACACTCCGAGAGCTCTTCCATTCTGTCTGAAACCGCAATCATCCTCTTCCAAGTAAGGAAACTCACTCAGCAAAGTCAACACAGGAATCAGGAGCAAAGACAGCAAGAATTGTCTAACTAACCAATTAGATGATTGCCTCAGTGGGCTATTGGTTCAGTGGCCACCACCTAGTTGGTGGGGTGGAACCTTGCCTCCCATCAAAAATACCACATTTAATTGACTTGTTTAAAAAAAAAAATTTAGGCGGGTGTGCTTAGGCCTGTCAACGGGTCGGGTCTAGACCCGGATCCGGACCGGATCCGTGAAATTATTGCGGGTATGGGTAGGGATTTAATTCCGTTTCCCGGATCCGGATCCGGATCCGTTTTGTCAAACCAAAAAACGGGTCGGATACGGAATATAGTATTTCGGCCCGTATTAGACCCGGATCCGGATATAAATGAATTAATAATTTAAAAAATATATATTTATCAATATAATTTGATTAGGGTGATGTATTTTAATAAAGTTAATTTGATTTCTTTTCTTATTTGATTTTTTCTTTGCATTAGTTAGAAATTAGTTTACAAATATATTTTTTTCTCATTTTTATTAGAAATTATAAAATTTGGTAAATTTGTTCGGGTAGACCCGGATCCGGATCCGGGACCCGCCGGATCCGGATCCGGAACGTAGAATAAAAGACCCGTCGGGTAAACGGGTCGGATCCGGATCCGGCATAGTATTTCGGGTCCGGGTCCGGAATAATGAATTCCGGCCCGGACCCGACCCGTTGACACCCCTAGGTGTGCTGTGCATTCGTCTGATCCAATGGTGGTTCAGTCCCATCCGGATTATCCCTAGGCGAATTTCAAATCTTCAATCAAATTCCTTAATTCAAATGATTACTGAATTCGACTAAGGGTCTGTTTGATAATATAAAAAAGTGCTGAAACTGAACCTTTTCAGACATTCAAATATTTTGAGTGTTTGATAAATAAAAATCCATCTGCTGAACTTGTTAAACAGTGCTAAACTTGTGTGTGTTTTCTTCAGTACAAGAATCCTAACTGAATGCTTAATTCTGATAAAAATCAAAAGAATTACTTCAACTACCTTATCTTATCTACCAAATCTACCTTTGTTTGTTAATTATGTTCAAAATTATTATCTAATTAAACAATCTGATATTCTCTATTTAATGGTTTTCTGTTTCTCTTTTATCCCTTTTTAATGACTTTCACATTTTCTCCATACTCCTCATATAATATATTCATCTTTTATATTAATTTGATTTAAAAAAAATATTGTCATTTTTATACCTAACATTTTAAACTAATTAAATCATATGTTCTATTTCATTTTTGAATGAAAAAATATAAGGGCAAAATTATCAAATTAAATTTATTAAATATTTAGTTATAAATATTTATCAAACAATATAAATAAGTTTAGCATTAAAATTCAGACATCATATATTTCTTTTCAGTACTTAAAATTTAGTAAATTAATTGTTTCAGTATTCAAACTTCAGAGTTCAGATTCAGTTTTATTAAACGGAACCTAAGTCCTTGTTTGATAACTCAATTCAACATTTAAATTTAATAGATTCAGATCTTAACGTGTTCAGACATGTTTGATAACTAAAAATTGAATATCTGAATTAATTAAGTGGCATTAAATTTTCTAAACAAAACTTGCTTTAAAAAAATAAGTGATAAGTTATTTACTTATCACTGAATGTGATATATACCCAAATATATTAGATTTAATACTTAACAATTTAATAATTTAATGAATTTTCACACAATCTTTTGCTGTTGAAGTCAGGCCTGACGACAGCTCAAGGCTGAAGTACTAGCATTTATAGGCCCGCCCAATCCAAACTAATGAAAATAGATATGATGTTGTTCGTTTAAGACTCCACAGCTGAATTTTGTGCGACATTCTAGTCTTCTATATAGGGGGCGGGTGGTCAGTCTTTCTTGGGTTTGTCTGAATCAATCATGGGAGAGGCAGCAAAAACCAATCCTCCAGCTGTGCCCGAAGAAGCCCCCATCAGAGTTGCAGCCATCTGTGGCTCCCTCCGTAAGGGCTCTTGTAATCGAGGCCTCATCCGGGCAGCAATTGAGATATCCAATGAGTCAATAGGTGGCATGATCATAGAGTATATAGACATTTCACCTTTACCATTGTTGAATACAGATTTAGAAGTGAATGGGACTTTTCCCCCAGAAGTTGAGGCTTTTCGGGATAAGATTCGCCAAGCAGATAGCGTTCTTTTTGCTTCGCCAGACTACAACTATTCTGTCACTGCACCTCTGAAAAATGCTATCGATTGGGGATCAAGACCCCCCAATGTTTGGGCTGATAAGGCTGCTGCACTTGTAGGTGCTGCCGGAGGTACTGGTGGGGCTCTTCAACAGTATCATGTCCGCCAGATTGGAGTCTTTCTTAATCTTCATTTCATCAATAAGCCTGAGTTTTTCCTCCGGAGGCCTTTAGCCCCGCCCCAGAAGTGTGATGAAGATGGTAACTTGATCGATGGGGAAGTCAGAGAGAGGTTGAAGGAGGTTCTTTTGTCTTTATATGCATTTACCTTGAGACTCCAGGGCAAGTCTAAATGATATATGTTCCGTTACTTTCTCCTTCTCATCTGCTAGCACGTCATTTCACACGGTCTAATGAATAAAATTTGATTCTTTCATCACTGGAGTTAATAGTGTTGGGAAGAGCTATAACTTACTTTCGGTTTTCAGGGCATCATATGTTGTTTGTTTCTTGTTTGTTCGTATTCCTTCTGGGGCAGGCTACTACTTGGGATTGGGAATTTGCCAAGTTCTTGCAAAATGCTTCTAGGAGGTTTTTGTAATTCTGTATCCTTCGTGGACGAAAATAAATGTACCTTAGTTTAATGTTGTATGCATGAATGCACTGATTCGGCAAATGTAGCATTTTCCACCATGCCTTGAAGATTGGCATGTAGCAATTTCCCATCCCAGATTCTTGTAAAACACAGACAACAGTGATGAAAAGGTGAACAAGCGAGGCCAAAAATGAAGTCCTATTCAAATCCTGTATCCTTGTCAATTTCAATTAAATGTACTCTCTTTTATTAAACTCGGCAAACGAACAAACTCAAGGGAAAGCATACAATACAATAGGTACTTAATATTTCGTGAACAAAGTAGGTGTATGGATGCAGACCGCGAAAATCATGGTCTTTTTAACAGGAGAAAATCTCCTGTGTCTTCATGGATAAGATCTTTTAGAAAAGTAAATGGCCTTAGATAAGTAGTAAAGACGAGATTTGCAGGAAAAGTAACTTCAATGAACTACAGCATTCAGCCTCCAAACCACCAAAAACAGAGCATCAAATAGTTCAGGAGCTATGGACCCTTTTTGTTGCACATATAGATTAACTATGGGTCTTTAAGAAATTGAGTATCAGCTCATTCACTTGGTCCGGAAATTGTTCTTGAACAAAGTGGCTACCTTCGGGTATGAATACTGTCTCCAACCTGGGAACAAACATTTTAGCTTGATCACTTCTAATATAGCCCCCCATACTTGGGAATTTGATGCAATAATCTTTTTCACCCATTATCAACAGTGCAGGAGCATCAACCTTGACTTCTGGTACGTTGAACACTTCTTGCAATGACCTACAAAGAAATGTGCATTATGCTAACTGACTAATTCCTTACCAAAGCACGAAACTAGTTTCTAGAGCCGCCATAAAGTACTTTTAGCTACCCTGTTGTTTAGATGAGCTAAGAGATCTTGAGTGAACAATCAGAACTATAATCTGGTGTTGTGGCACAATGATTTCAGGATAAAGAGAGCATGTAAGAAATTGGTAACGTTTTAAATGAGAAGTATTTTTATTCGCTTACCTATATGGAACCTTTAGAGCAGTTTGGAATCCAGATTTTTCATAGAGAGCACCATAATTTGCAAGATCTTCTTCGGTGAACCAAGAGGGTAGAGGAGTAGATGAATCCACTAAATCCATTATCTCCTGATTTTTCTCAGCTACTGGTACGTCAGGTCTGGAGAACAGGATATAGATGTTGCGCACGACTGTTTTAGGATCAAGTCGACCAAAATCAGCTTCAGCTCTTCCAGGTTCCTAAGATAGAGATATTTATTGAGATGCATTGACATTTTTCCTATAGTGGAAAACTCTCTTGAGATGCATAGGTTTCCTCTTCTATTTTGCTACATAAAAGAGCAAGAGTTTCCTGAAACTTGGAAACCTTGCCACATAAAAGAGCAAGCGTTTGCTGAAGCTCGGAAACCTTTACTTTGGATTATGCTGAAAATGGTTTCAAGATTCACCATCCCCATCCCAAAATTTCATAAATGTACCACCAGAAAGAAAAGTGTCAAAAAAAAAATAAGTGAAGAAAGAGACTTTCATACCTCCCATCTGGCCATATAGAAGCCTTCAGGAAGGCCCTCTTTCAGTGGAGGAAGAACTGGTGGGAAGAAAGGTATACCCAAAGTCACAACTCCTGCAACCCTCTCTGGGTGGAGAAGCACAAAAAGGTATGCAACCCTAGCTCCAAAATCTTTCGCTATGAGAAAAACCTGTGTACAACACAAAGATATACACGTGATATAAGCTCCTGAAAAACACCAACAAATTGCGGCAAGTAGAAATCATCTAGCATACAAACAACAATCAACCTTAATCCGCGTTCGTGTAAGATGGGGACTTACCTACTACTTTTTCATATTGATCTGCTAGTAATTGGTGAGTTGGTGCTAGATATTAAAATTGGTTACATTTCCCCCGAATTTCAACAGAGTTTTCATTTTCTTCTTCGTCAGCTACAAAATTACTGAAACTTATGTCGGACAATGAACAATTACCATGTCATTTTCTATGTACTCCCTCCATTGGGTTATTTTGGATGAGTGCAGAACAGAGAATGCAAATGTGAATGGCAGAAATCTAATCAAACCAGTCTAATATCCATAAGCTCTCTCGAAAGCTAGATCATATTTTCTCATTAATCTTGATTTGAGTCGCGCATATACCATGCGAGACACCTTCCATGATCTTTTTATTGAGATAAATGAAAGCCAAAATCTTTAGCAATGAGAAAAACCTGTTTATAACACGATCATTTTGATCTCCTGGTGGGTTGGTTTCACATTCCCCCTGAATTTTAAGATAGAGAAAATTGTAGTTTTGGTATCAAATACTTGGAACATTAGCAATTTTAGATCCTAAAGTTTGGACGAAAGCAAATCCAAAACCAAATGTTTCAATTTTTAAGCACGTTAAATCCAATTAACGATTTTGACAAATTTTTACCGGAATCCAGTCATGTGGGCAGCACATGACCGTGGATACATTTTAACAAAAGGTTTTTTTAAAAACAAAAACAAAAAAAGAAAAAATGTTGGTGGCCATAATCTGTAATTAAAGGGCACTAATTAGTGCCATTTAATTAGACTAATTACTTGGCATGTGACTAATTAGCGCCCATTAATTACAAATTATGATCAACAACCTTTTTTCTTTTTTCTTTTCAAAATTTACCTACCCGAACGCGCTTCCCACGCGACCAGATTTCGATAACAATTTGCCAAAACTAGTCAACTGGACTAAATGTGCTTAAAAATTGAAACCTTTGGTACTAGATTTTCTCTCGTCCATACTTTAGAGAATAAAAAAGTCTAAAACTGCCGATGCTCCACACATTTGGTTTCAAAACTGCAATTTTTTCTTTTATACTTTTCATTCATTTATTCTTTGTCAGCATCAAAATAACCAAAACTTAATGCCAAATAATGAACAATTACTATAGTACTCCCAGTTGGTGATTATTTAGGACGAATGCAAAGCAGAGAATTCAATATGGATCGCACAAATCTAGTCAAACTAGTCTGATCTCCATAAGCTCTCTGGAAAACTCAACTGGATTTTCTCATTATGAGTCTTAATTTGTGCCCATACACTTTGTCAGACGCAAGGTTTTCAAAATCGGGATCCTACCTAGGATTGTTTTTTGGTTTGCAAGATCGGATCGTAGAATCGGTAGATCCTACAAAAAATGTAATAAATTGTCATATTAATAATTTTTAAGTTTGCAATTCATAAATATAGTAACAAATAATGTAATTCATGTGCAATCAATATAATTATATTGTTAATTAAGGTTAATTCATTTCTAAAGGCTCTAAACCATATTAATTTATTATAATAAAGACACAAAACACTAGCTCCATGTGATAACCTATAACAAAGATCATTTATTCACTTTAGTGAATTATACGAGTCAAATTTAAAGATTCATCAAATTTTCTAGGTTTGGAATTAGGTTTAATTATTTACATGGATTTAAAGCACTCTGAATATAATTTACAACGCAATAAACGACACTCAATTTTGAGTTTTCTACACAAAAATAGAGTCAAAATATTAAAATTGTTATTTAATTTATTGAAAATAATAGAATCGTATTATAATCGTAGATTGGATCGTTAGCCTTAATCCGGATCGTAGGATCGTACGATCCTACTATCCGTATCGGGATCCTAACAACATAGGTCAGACGCCTTATACCACCCCTCTTTTGAATGAGAAACATGAAACCCAAAATAAATGTAAAAGGATACAGACTCCATTAAAGTACCTTGGAAATGCCAAGAACATCAAGGAGGGAATAAAGATCACTGATGAAGTCAGAGTAGGTAGCCTCCTGGGGTACAGATGGTGGGTCGGACAGTCCATATCCTCTGTAATCGGGTGCAATGGCTCTATAACCAGCTTTGGCTACTGCAACCATCTGATGACGCCAAGAATACCAAATCTCTGGAAACCCATGACAGAACAATACAGCTTTTGACTCATTTTCTCCAATCTCAGCTACATGGAGCTTCAGCCCGTTCACTTCAATGAACTTGTGTTGAATCTGATCCATTTGCAGGAGGAAAATTCAAGAAAGACAAGAGAGATACAAATAGTATGGGCAGAAGGGAGTATTTACTTAGTACTTCTAAGTAGTCCAACTCTCTCTTAACCTTTTCTAAACTGAAGTTTAGAAATTCGGCTTTTATAAACCTAATCCCAGAAGAAACCTCAAAAGCCGGCAACTCTTGAGGTCCTCCCAGGGACTTATAAACCAAACCCAAACTCCTCCCAGAACCGATGTGGGATGGCAAACCCCACAAGGGCAAGCCAGTAAGGCAGCTGCTGCTAAGAAGTGAAGACCCCTCACGACACTCAGTAAACTATCCCTGCATGAATTTGCCTCTTGACCTTTTCTAAACTGAAGTTTAGAAATTCGGCTTTTATAAATCTAATCCCAAAAGAAACCTCAAAAGCCGGCAACTCTTGAGGTCCTCCCAGGGACTCTAAGTAGTCCAACTCAATGCGTCATGTTTTGGATCTTGCACCTTTATTTCTCGGCGGTGGTCCCGTCCACGGTGGAAAATTCACTTTTCTGCCCGCGGTAGGCAGAAGCAATGCAAGGACGCCAACTGTTTTTTGTGGGGACGCACAAAGACGGATAGCAAAAAGATGTACTGGGCACCGGATAAGGCCGGTTGTGCGTGAATGAAATAATGCAATACATTCTAAAATTACAATAAAAACCCTTTTAAAAATTTGTTTATCATTTAATGCCTAGTACTTAAAAAATATTTTGTAAACACTCCAGCCGAAATACAGATCCCAATGAAAGGGAAAGAGCGAAAAGTGAATGTAAAAAAAACGTAGAAAAAAGGCATGATAAGATAGACAAGATTGTTGTAATGGAAAATTGGTGACATTTTCAATGTTAGTTAGTGAATTTTATATATGTTAAATCAAATGTTGTGGTAGTTTTTTTTTTTTAATTGAGTTTGATATTTGAAATAATTGAAACATAAATATAAAAAAAAAAAAGTTGGGAACTTAGGCATAATTAAAATAAAGGGAGATGTGCAATTTGGGTCCCCCATGTTTGGTTCATGAGTTAAATTGATTCCTGATATTTTGACCAAAATAAATATGGTCCCAATCTTTTTTTATTTTAGGGAAATTTAGGACAACTAAAAGAAACTACAATATCTAACGGTTAAAATCAAATTAAAATTAGTCAAAAGTTTTGAATTTGAATTTTTTGGGTTGTATGAGTCGGGGAGAAATCACTAGCTATATTACCCATAAAACTTTTGACAAATGAAAATCAACCATAGCATCATGTTGGACAAAAGCTAGAAAATGCCAAGCTTTGGTGAAATGGTAAGAAGTGCTTTTAAGTAGTAGTATCACAGAAATTGTGAATGATGCAGCATTACAGCAGAGAATCTCTCTCTATTATTTCAGAAATGTTACAGCATTACAAACTCCACCAATGTCATAGCACTGGGAAACTCCATCCACACATCTGGTTAAGAACTTTCAAATGTCCACTCTGAAGTGAAAGTAGTAGGGAACAGTCAAAAGTACATCAAATCTACTAGAGAGAGTTGTTTTTTTGGTGCCCGGGTCAACTATGCTGCTTGAGAAAGTTGAGTATCAGCTCATTCGCTTGATCAGGAAATTGTTCCTGAACAAAATGGGAACCTTCAGGTATGTATTTTGTCTCCAATTGAGGAACACACTCTTTTGCCTGTTCAGTTCTTATGAAGTCATTCATTCCTGGGAAGTTGATAACATAATCCTTTTCGCCCATTATCAATAGCGCTGGGACATCCACCTTCATTTCTGATATGTTGAACTCTTCGCTCAATGACCTATAACACAAACAAACCAGTTGGTTAGCAGGTTTAGAAGACTGAACAGTAACAAGAAAACTCCTAGTTTTAGAAACATGGCTGACTCAGTCAGTACAAAGCTAGTTGCATATTCAAGAGGAATTTGATTGATTGGGTACCTATAAGGTACTTTTAGTGCGGTGCGGAATCCAGATTTATCATAAAGACTGCCATACATTTCGAGATCTTTCTCCGTGAACCAAGAGGGCAAAGGCATAGATGAATCCACCAAGTCCATTATTTCCTGATTCTCCCCAGCAATTGGCAATTCACTTCTTGAGAACAGAATGTAGATTCTGCGAACAACTGTTTTAGGATCAAACCTGCCGAAATCTGCTTCAGCTCTTCCAGGTTCCTAGAATGAACAAGTTATTTTTTGTTAGAACCCACATTTTGAACTCGAAACCTGTATTCGAAATTCATGACTCCCTACTCCCACTCCAGCATAATTCCGCATCCAGAATTTACTTAACTCTGGTATGAATGCAAGAAGAAGGAAGAAAATAACAAAGAGAATTATGCACCTGCCATCTTGAAATATAGAAGCCTTCAGGGAGGTACTGCAGAAACAGTGGGGGTCCCAAAGGTGTGAAGGGTGCACCCAGTGTTACAACTCCTTCAACTTTCTCCGGATGGAGAAGGGCAAAAACTTGTGCTACGCGGACTCCAAAATCTTTGGCCACGAGAAAAACCTGCACATTGTGCGGAAAATTCGGAGAAGAATCTCAAAAGGTTTTAATTTCAGTGACAAAGGAATGATTTTGGCAGAGCATTCTTCATCTCTCTTCTTTTCTCTCATATACTGGTGCATCTTGGAAATGAGATTAAGAAATTTTACCCATCTGAACTCATATATCAAAGAGGAAAGACTTGAGACAGATTGGTAGTCCCAGTAGTCCATATAAAAGTATCAGAAACAACTTCAAAAAGATCCCCTTTGTTCATTTCTTGAACATTTTTCCAAAGAAAAGCAGGTGAACTTACAGATCAAATTCCGCATCTTAAGATTATTATTTCATGGAAATGAGTGAGGAAAAAAAGAAAATTTCTTGATCGATTAGATTCAGAGTTAATAAGCTTTCCCAATTATGCAAGAAAAGCACATTCACAACAGCTAACGGGAAAAGCAAAATGCTCTCACAGAAAGAGACAATTAGCAAAAGGGTATCAACCTTTGGAATGCCAAGACATTGAATCAGAGCGTGGAGGTCACTGACAAAGTCTAAGTAGTTGGCCTTCTCAGGAACAGGTGGGGGATCGGAAAATCCATATCCTCTGTAATCAGGTGCAAGGGCTCTAAAACCAGCGCTGGCCACCGCAACCATTTGGTGGCGCCAGGAGTACCAGATCTCTGGAAACCCATGACAGAACAACACTGTCTTAGGCCCATTTCCGATCTCAGCTACATGAAGCTTCAAGCCATTCACTTCAACAGACTTGTGCTCTATCTTCTCCATTTGACTAAGCGAAAGAAATGCAGACGATAAATGGCTCAAGGAAGAATCCAAAATCAAATGACTTCCAATATTTTGCTCTGATTTTCGCTTACGCACGGTTTCAATTTGAGTCTGTCATTAGTAGTAGTCGGTCAATTGTTGTCTGTGTCTAAAGATTTTCAGAATATTCGAATCTCATCTCTTTCTTGTTTGTCCATTCGATTTTATGGTACACCAAATTTAGGGATAATTTCAGAAATCTCCCCTGAGGTTTCTGACTATTTTCACTTAGTTCCCTTAAAGTTTTAAAAATTACACTTATCTCCCTCGATTTGACACTTTGGTAATCAAACCTTAAAATAAGGTAAAAAATTTAATGAATACCCTAAAATATCCTTATCTTATAAAGTTTAATTTATTCTTCTAAATAATTATAAAGTAATTCAATACAATTAGTTTAAAAAAAAAAAACAGAGTCTCAAGTTTTTCATACCAATATTTGTTATTTAATAATCAACTATAACAATAAATCTCTTGCTATAATAAGTTATTTTTTATACTGCTTTATTTAGAATAAAGGTTCTTTTTAAAATAGAGAAGAAAGTGTTATCTTGTGTTTTCTAAGTTTATGAACTAATTTTTTTTAATAAAAGTTTATGGATTAGTTTAGTGATGGAACTATCAAAGTTTGGTAGTGATTTTGGGCAATTTGTTTTTAATTATTGTTGATTTATTCTTGATTTTGATACAAAAAAAAGAGCTAAAAAATTTGAATGATATTAAAAGTCATCAAAAAAATTACTAATTTAACATTTGTTCTGAATAGATATTAGTGACAACATTGATAGTTCTTCTATATTTCTAATGAAATATAAGAGAAATAAGAAGGAAAACGGAAAAAAATTATAAAATCCATCTTTTATATAAACATGGCAACAAGAGAGTTCTATTAAAATATTAAGGTTAATATTGTCATTTTCAATGAATAAGGGAGGTAGATGTAATTTTTAAAACCATAAGAGAGCCACATGAAATTATCAAAAACCTCAGGGGATGTTTCTGAAATTATCCTCCAAATTTATGGTGCAAAAAGATAGCACGTGATCCCATTAAAGCTGTCTTGACATGATGCAGAACAGACAGCTGGTTTGTAAATTGTAGCTATGGAGAAAAGTTATTTTTGTAAGTTTAATTTTTAAGCAAATAAAAAATTTTCTTTAATCAGACTCATATTGATTTATCGATCAATTGCATAAAACTCGAGAATCAATTCCACAAATCTGTTGGCCTACAAACAGCTTCTGTTGCATCAGAAATTCAACAAGTGGTAGACTAATTAGACTCGTTAGTAGTAGTAGTAATCAAATCTTGAAATACAATGTGCCTATTTGTAACATTGTGCAACTTTGCTACGGGATTCTTGATCCCGTTGCAACAAATATTGGGTCAAAATACAGTTTGAACGTATTAAAATTTAAATTCACTAAATTTTAAGTGTTAAATTGAATTATCAAATAAAAATTAAGTCGCCATCTGTTGGCAACCATTTATATTCACCAATACACTTTTTTTTTTCTTTTACTTGCTTGAATTCATTTTTGAATAATAAAAAAAATGAAATAAGATCTTATTTTGGGCTAATCAGGTATAGAATACAGCCTAACTAGGGATAGCAATGGGGGCGGGTGCCCGCGGGTGCCCGCCCCGCGGGGGGCTCATGGGGCGGGGGGGGAATTTTTTCCCCCCGCTTAGAAACGGGGCGGGGGGCGGGGGTATAATCCCCCGCCCCGCCACCCGCAAAAAAAAAAAAAAAAAAAAAAAAATAATATATATATATATATATATATATATATAAATGACTATATATTATATGTAAGTTAATTAGTTATAAACTTATGATAATGATATTATTAGTTAGATGTATTATATAATGTATATTAGTTTATGTAATATAATTGATATTATCAATTATATGAATAATTATACATGTCTACTAATAGAATTTATTAATTAGTTATACTAAATTTACTAATACATTTATACTAAATTTCTAATTACACTTAATAGAATAACACTTTTTTCTCAAAAAAAAACACAAACACAATGATGAATTAGTGATTGCATTTGTACTAAAAGTGAAAATTTGACTATTTTAGTTATATTTATTTCATCATATTGGATTGTATTCAAATAACTTCTGTTTGATTGTTTTTATGAGTTTCAATTGTAAAATTACAATGAATAATAATTTGGTGATGTGTTGATATTTTAGTACTTGATTATTTATTAAAATTTAATTATAATAAAATTATATAATAAAATTTTATTAACCCCGCGGGTGCCCCCGCGGGTGCCCCCGCAAGGCGGGGCGGGGGCGGGGCGGGGGCGGGGGGAGCGGGAGGCGGGGGACGGGGCGGGGGACGGGGGGAACTCCCCCGTCCCCCGCCCCAACCCCGCCCCGTTGCCATCCCTAAGCCTAACAGAGTAGAAGGGCCTGAGTTGGAGCCTAAACATCATGGCCTATGCAACACCGAGCTTCGTCCTACAAAAACCGAGATAAATGGGCCGATAGCAGCCCAGCAATAAGGTAATCAAATTCATCAAAATTAATGACTGGTGCGTCATTATATTCACCTGAAAAAGGGGTACTAATTAAAATATATATATACGGTTTCCTTTGATTGCCCTCAGCTCGATCCTCTTGATCTCAGCAGGATTTGTTCCTCTGCTATATTTAGCCGGAGGAGCCACCGACTCCGTCAGCCGACCGGACGACGAGACTCCGCTGTTTAATTCTATCGCTCTCTAACTCTCTCCGGTAAGCTTTCTCGCTGTAGCTATCTAATTCTGCCTTATTAGTTTTTAATTTATCAGCTAGTTTTTTCTTCTTCATTGCTCATGACGAAATAAAAGGAAAAGAAGAATGTAAAACTAGTGGAGTTCGATTCTAGGGCTGCTAGGCGCATACTTGCAGATCTATGTTTGAGTTGAAATTCGTGATGATATGTGGATACAGGTGTTATTTCTTGAGAATATAGTACTTCAAAAACTCTTCCTGTTTTGTGCTTTGAATTCTACGATGCCAGTTCTTGTTCGACCTATGGATAATTCTTTATTTTTCATGTTTGGCTTTAGACTTCTTTGCGGGAGCAATTTTCTTATTAGTGTTCAGCAGAAAAAAAGGGGAAACTCTGAGTTGCTGTACTTTGAGGATTAGGGAAAATCGTTTGACCGGCTTGATTGAGGTAGTTTTTATGGGTATATTGGATTTAAAAATGAAAATTAGTGTAATGTTTGTGTAAGAATGATACAAGTTAATGCATGTACAATGTGGTATGGACCCTAAAGTGACAGTACACTAGTTTTGGCTGGTAAAGTTAGACTGGCAAGGATTTACATAATGTAGTTGGATATGTAGTTGCTTGCGAAGTTGGTTTATGTGAATACAGTTTATGCTTCTATTCTGTTGAATTGACTTCACTTTGCCGCTTGTTGATGTTTGAGAAGATTGTATGACTACATTTTCTGGTTCTTGTATGTTTCGCTATTGATTTCAGAGTCCTGAATGATTCTTAATTTTGGCTAATAGAGTTGTGAGTTGATGTACCTGGTTTGGTTTTTCGGAGTTTGTATGGTACTAAAGCTACCCCAATTCTGAAACTTCTTTATCTAGCCTTTTAAGATTTTCCTCAGAAGCTTTACTTGTTGTTTCCGCCATTGCCAACGAATCAAACAGCTCTGAATACCACTTGTCAATCAATGAAGAAATTTGAAAAATTCAACCCAAAAATGGAAGGAAAAGGAATGATCAACAAAGGAAGGAAAAGAAGGGAAGTTTCTTGCAGAGAAAGGAATATCTCCTTGTCGCTAGCAAAATTTTAAAAGTAAGATTGCAACTGATCCCCAATGCAGGAGCAATGCTATTTATCTAACAAACTAAAAGGGAAACAACAAACTTGCTGAGCTGGAAGAATTCTATAAAAAAACCTAACTGAGTTCAAAACGACCCTGGGCTGAACTAAGCGACACCACAATAAAACTACTTATTATACTACTAGAATAAATAAACGACACCGTTCCAATAATGACTTAGCTAATCACTGCTGAACCAATTAATGAACTGAATTTACATGACGCAAAACTTAGATTTGTGGCATCTGTCACCATTGTTCAATGTGATGCACTTGTTGGACATCGTGTCAGCATAGGTCCTAATTATTGAATTGGTGAAAGATACTGCAAAAGATGGAGTTTGCACGTTTTACGATTGATCACTTATGCAATGTTATAACTTGTATGATGAAACCATCTTTATGTTTAACAATGACATCCGCTAGGCATTCTGGCTTCCGCGTCCCTTTTCATCATCTTTTTCTGGAAATTGTTTTCATTGTGAGAGGTGCTTATCTAGTTTTGGGACTCATTGAGAAACTCATTCGTTTGTCCATCTTCCTCTGAATTGATTGTGAAAGATTTAACTTATTGAATACAAAAAAAAAATGCATCCTAATTTTGCAGACGATGGCTGAGGAAGAAGAATTAGACGACTTGTTGCTAGAGGCAGCTGGGAGAACAGGTGAAAGTGAGAGAAGACGACGCAAGGTTCCATACTCTGATGATGAGAGTGACTCAAAAGATGATGACTATGATGATGATCATGCTTATTCAAACAGAAAACCCTCTGGTTCACAAGTCCCTCTCAAGAAAAGGTTGGACCCCTTGGAAAGGGATGAGGATGATAGTAATCATGAAGAAGATGGTTATCATGAAGGTGACAGTGATGACGATTCTGTTGGGAGTGACCTCTACAAGGATGAAGATGATAGGAAAAAGCTTGCACAGATGTCGGAACTTCAAAGGGAAATGATTTTAGCAGATCGTGCATCAACAAGAAGTGATAGAGAAATGCACGAAAAATTTGCAAAAAAAAGAAAAGGGAGCCCCACTCAAACTCATTCTCGTGCTGTGCGCTCATCAACTAGATTTGCTGACAGGGCAGCTGCCAAAGATGACGCGCTGAATGAGATACGAGCAAAGCGAATGAGGCAGCAGGATCCAGAGGCTCATCGGAAACTTAGGGATGCAACTAGAGATGGCTCTGGAAGCCGTGGTTACTCACCTGTCAAGCGTAGACCCTTTACTGCAGCAACTATAGGTAGCCCTACCCGGAGTGGAAGCGCT